TTAAAGAAGCGTCATGTACCAAAATATTCATTGCAGCTCTATTTACAATCGCCCTGAAATGGAAACAATCTAAGTGCCCATCATCGGATGAATGGATAAAGAAGATGTGGCACCTATATAGAATGGAATATTACTCAGCCATAAAAAGAAATGAAATTGAGCTATTTGTAATGAGTTGGATAGACCTAGAGTCTGTCATACAGAGTGAAGTAAGTCAGAAAGAGAAAGACAAATACTGTATGCTAACACATATATATGGAATTTAAGAAAAATAAAATGTCATGAAGAACCTAGGGGTAAGACAGGAATAAAGACACAGACCTACTGGAGAACGGACTTGAGGATATGGGGAGGGAAGGGTGAGCTGTGACAATGCGAGAGAGAGGCATGAACATATATACACTACTAAACGTAAGGTATATAGCTAGTGGGAAGCAGCCGCATAGCACAGGGATATCAGCTCAGTGCTTTGTGACCGCCTGGAGGGGTGGGATAGGGAGGGGGGGCGGGCAGGGGACGCAAGAGGGAAGAGATATGGGAACATATGTATATGTATAACTGATTCACTTTGTTATAAAGCAGAAACTAACACAGCATTGTAAAGCAATTATACCCCAATAAAGATGTCAAAAAAAAATTTAAAGTATGTTTTTTAACATGTAACATCAATGAAGAAGGGGAGAAAATTTAGCATAGTGAATTTATGATAATAAACATAGTACAAATAGTCTACAGCAATATAGGACTGTGAACTTGTATTTGACAAACAAATGCAATAATGAGATAACTTGTAAAAAAAATTAATGCACAGAAATTTCTTGCATTCCTATATACTAATGATGAAAAATCTGAAAGTGAAATCAAGAAAACACTCCCATTTACCACTGCAACAAAAAGAGTAAAGTATCTAGGAATCAACCTACCTAAGGAGACAAAAGACCTTTATGCAGGAAATTATAAGACACTGATGAAAGAAATTAAAGATGATACAAATAGATGGAGAGATATACCATGTTCTTGGTTTGGAAGAATCAACATTGTGAAAATGACTCTACTACCCAAAGCAATCTACAGATTCAACGCAATGCCTATCCAACTACCACTGTCATTTTTCACAGAACTAGAACAAAACATTTCACAATTGGTATGGAAACACAAAAGACCACGAATAGCCAAAGCAATCTTGAGAACGAAAATCGGAGCTGGAGGAACCAGGCTCCCTGACTTCCAACTATACTACAAAGCTACAGTAATCAAGACAGTATGGTACTGGCACAAAAGCAGAAAGATAGATCAATGGAACGGGATAGAAAGCCCAGAGATAAACCCATGCACATATGGCCATCTTATCTTTGATAGAGGAGGCAGGAATGTAGAGTGCAGAAAGGACAGCCTCTTCAATAAGGGGTGCTGGGAAAACTGGACAGGTACATGTAAAAGTATGAGATTACATCACTCCCTAAGACCATACACAAAAATAAGCTCAAAATGGATTAAAGACCTAAATGTAAGGCTAGAAACTATCAAACTCTTAGAGGAAAACATAGGCAGAACACTCTATGACATAAATCACAGCAAGATCCTTTTTGACCCACCTCCTAGAGAAATGGAAATAAAAACAAAAATAAACAAATGGGACCTAATGAAACTTCAAAGCTTTCGCACAGCAAAGGAAACCACAAACAAGACCAAAAGACAACCCTCAGAAACGTAGAAAATATTTGCAAATTAAACAACTGACAAAGGATTAATTTCCAAAATTTACAAGCAGCTCATACAGCTCAATAACAAAAAAGCAAACAACCCAATCCAAAAATGGGCAGAAGACCTAAATAGATATTTCTCCAAAGAAGATATACAGACTGCCAACAAGCATATGAAAGAATGTTCAACATCATTAATCATTAGGGAAATGCAATTCAAAACTACAATGAGATATCGTCTCACACGAGTCAGAATGGCCATCATCAAAAAATCTAGAAGCAATGAATGCTGGAGAGGGTGTGGAGAAAAGGGAACACTCTTGCACTGCTGGTGGGAATGTGAATTGGTACAGCCACTATGGACAACGTATGGAGGTTCCTTAAAAAACCACAAAAAGAACTACCATATGACCCAGCGATCCCACTACTGGGCATATACCTTGAGAAAACCATAATTCAAAAAGAGTCATGTACCAAAATGTTCACTGCAGCTCTATTTACAATCGCCCGGAAATGGAAACAATATAAGTGCCCATCGTGAGATGAATGGATAAAGAAGATGTGGCACCTATATAGAATGGAATATTACTCCGCCATAAAAAGAAACGATATAGAGCTATTTGTAATGAGGTGGATAGACCTAGAGTCTGCCATACAGAGTGAAGTAAGTCAGAAAGAGTAAGAGAAATCCATGTGCTAACTCATATATATGGAATTTAAGAAAAAAAAATGTCATGAAGAACCTAGGGGTAAGACAGGAATAAAGACACAGACCGAATGGAGAACGGACTTGAGGATATGGGGAGGGGGAAGGGTGAGCTGTGACAAAGCGAGAGAGAGGCATGGACCTATATACACTACCAAATGTAAGGTAGATAGGTAGTGGGAAGCAGCCGCAGAGCACAGGGATATCAGCTCGGTGCTCTGTGATCGACTGGAGTGGTGGGATACGGAGGGTGGGAGGGAACGTGATGCAAGAGGGAAGAGATATGGGAACATATGTATATGTATAACTGATTCACTTTTTTATAAAGCAGAAACTAACACACCATTGTAAAGCAATTATACCCCAAGAACGATGTTAAAAAAAAAAAAAAGAAGTATCAGTTGATGTTAAAACAAGTGAATTAAAGTTTGATGAGAAATGGAATATTTACATAATCTTAAAGTGTCTCCCCACAAAATACTTATTAAAGAGAGGAAAAGAACAAGTTTACAGTGGAAAAACTTGATGTCAGCCACCACCCTAATTAAGTGATCAAACTTAATATCACTAGTAATATTACACACCATCTACCACTTGATAAGATGCAGTACAAAGAACACATATCTGGGCTTCCCTGGTGGCGCAGTGGTTGAGAGTCTGCCTGTCAATGCAGGGGACATGGGTTCATGCCCCGGTCTGGGAAGATCCCACATGCTGCGGAGCGGCTAGGCCCATGAGCCATGCCTGCTGAGCCTGCGGGTCCGGAGCCTGTGCTCCGCAATGGGAGAGGCCACAACAGTGAGAGGCCCGCGTATCGCCAAAAAAAATAAAAAATAAAAAAAAAAGAACACATATCTAATCATGAGAAAGCTGCAGAGAAACCCAAACTGAGGAAAGTTCTACAAAATAACTCATCTGTAAATCTTCAGAAGCATCAAGATCATGAAGGTCAAAGAAAGACTGAGGAACTGTTCTAGACTGAAGGCACATGACAGCTAAATGCTATGCACAACCCTGGACCAGATCCCTTTGCTATAAAGGACCAAATCATAGAATCTGAATGGAGCCTGCAGATTAGATCGGAATAATGTATAAATCGTAGTTCCTGATTCTGATGGCTTCTTACTGTCACATAGCAGTAACAGGAGTTGTTAGGAGTTACTGAAGTACTCAGGGGCCACGGAGCATCCTAAGGGCAACCTACTCTCAGGTAAAATGGAAAAAACTTATTTAATGTACTATGCTTGCCACTTGTCTGTCAGTTTGGAATTACTTCAAATTAAAAAAAAAAGTTAAAAAAAGGGCATATGATATGACTCTTCATGTGTCTAAGTTATCCTCAAAATGCTGTTACCAATTTGTACTTCCCTAGGACAATGTGGGAGAGTAAACCCAAAGCAGAATTTTATTTATTAAAACAAAACAACACAAAACACTTTTCCTTCCGGATGAAAACCAAACATATTATCAAAAGGACACTTATATTCTCAGAAAGGTAACAAGAAGGATGCACCCCAAACTGGTGACAGTGGACACATCTGAAGAGAAAGAGGGACAAGGAGAAGGTGAAGGGGACTACTGTGGATTACACTGTATTCTATATTGTTTGATGTTTTTTCCTTAAGAATATATTCACTCATTACCTTCAAAAGAAAAAAAAGACATTGAGGGAAATATGTGTTTCCTGGGAAGTTTAAGAGTAGTTTACACCATCACCTCTGAATTTCCTGATACCGTGTGCAAAGTTGGTGTGTATGCGCATTATTGGCCTTTTTCTGAAAATACTGAAACCAAGCAGGACCCTGCAAGGCCTTCCTGGGCACAAAAGCCCCTCTGTGCCCCTTGTTTCTTGTTTATAGAAAAAAGGCTTCAGTCTCCTGGGCCTCCCCCAGGTTACAAAGAGCAGTCTCAAGCAGTTAATGATTAGGAAACAAGAGTCATAGGACTCCTAGTTCCTCCTAAAGGGAGAGAGATAAGAATCTGATGCATATTTTTGAGTTGTTCTGCAGAAACTAAGAAACCCCCTCACCACCCAGGTGGAGGATGGCAATTATGTGCTGACCACAAGCACACAGACCCCAGACTTCTGGCTGGAACCAGAAGGTCAGTGATTGAGATTCCTGAAACATCATTCTGTTCCCTTACAACCAACCAATCAGAATAAAGTCCACAAGCTGATCATGCATCCAAAAACCCTCTCCCTTGTCTTCAAAGACCCTTCCTTGAAAGCCACTGGGGAGTTCACATTTTTTGAGCATGGGCTGCCCATTCTCCTTGCTTGGCGTCCTTATTTTGCTACAAACACCGCTGTCAAGAGTTTGGCTTTGTGTGCCTCAGGCACACAAGTCCTTGCTTGGTTAGAATATGTTCATAGCTTTCAACATACTCCCAAAGAGAACCATGGCCTTATACCTTCCAATAAGATGGGCATTTCTATACATGAGCTGGGTCAGACTGTACTCATCAAGAAGATCCTCATGCTATGCAGTGAAACGAAGTTGAGGATTTTGGAACACTGACAACTGTCTTCCCATCATCATTTAGTTAAAGCCTTTAAATCTTAGCGACAGCAAGATTTTAGTCTTTCTTACCTGAGAATTCATATTTAGCACAGGACATGTCAATAGTTGATTCCAGGTCAATCTCTGAAATGTCTGAAAGCCAAGCCCGGAAATGTTCAAACAGAATTTTCCTAGAAATGTAAACAAAAGATAACTTGTTACACCATAATGTGGGCTCCATTTGGATCTATGCCACAACTATTTTTTCCTGGAGGTTTTGGTTTATTTAAGATCTATTCTTGAGAATGTTCCTCACTTTAAGCTTGCAAAGTTTAGGAGTAACAGTCCCAGAGAAATAAATGTAAATCTCTCTACTGCAATATATTTTTGCTCTACTGTTTTCTTTTCTTTTCTTGTTTTTGGCTGCACCATGTGGCATGTGGGATCTTGGTTCCCCAACCAGGGATTGAACCAGTGCCCCCTGCAGCAGAAGTGCAGAGTCCTAATCACTGGACCGCTAGGGAAGTCCCTCATCTTATTTTTCTTACTCTTAAATTTATAGTATTGCCTTATCATGACAGTGGTCTGGCCTTTGTCATAGGAACACCAATGTTCCAGCCTGAAGTCACTGATTTTTAGAGCTGTTTTTCAGCACCAATACTAGCACTGTTGTTTAATGAACACTTGGGTGGGTGACACTGTTGTAGATTAAAATAATGGTGACTATTATGCTAATTGTATAATAATAAACTCTTTCACAGAAGTTCTGATATTAACAGGATACCAAAAAAACAAAGATGGTTGAACATTTCCATTTACCAGCTAAAGTGGCTCTGTATAGAACTCTAACACAATTTAAAACTTACTCAGTTGGTAGTCAACTTTGAAATTATGTTAACTTTGATGAACTAACATTTTTATGTCAATTATATCTCAATAAAACTGGAAAAACATTTTAAAAAACATTTTTAAAGGGTTTATGTTAGTTCAAATTTTGCACATGAAGACAGTATTTTTTGGATCATTCTAGTCCAAATGTACATCACTGAAATCCCCATAAAATGCAATTGTACTGTTAATAACTAGATACCAAGTCTCCAGGTTGATGCCCTGAAATTTTATTACCAAATATCTTTTTACATTGTATGCTACCCAATCCACAAAATTCTATAAAATATTGTGCTTGGTTAGTCCAAACAAAAGTGCCAAGTAACTTTTATAGGCAGAGTTGCAAATTAGACATACTAGGTCAGCATAGCAAACTGCTAAACCAGGCTTCAGGTAATGTAGGTGGTCAACATTTTTGCAAAATCTTGAATCTTGATGTTTTATGTAACTAGTATTATCAAAGCCTTCACTCCCTCTGTTACTGGTAACATCAGCTTCCACAAATTTATTCCACAGAAAGCTCTTTCTCTAGTTACCCTATGACAGTGTCACGACAGGGTTATTTTCTGCCATCATTCTCATTTGTTAATTGTATTCATGAGAGAAATCACAGAACCCAACTGGGAAATAAAAAGATCGCCTTTCGGTAAAGACCAAGGAATTCCAGCTCTCATACCATCTGGCTGTTATGTGTTGGATACAGAATGTAACTCAGTCCCATAGGAAAGAAATACTTACCAGAGGTGTGGTATGAACTAATGAGATAGTGCTTTAAAGCATGGTCTTGGGGGAAAAAAGGTCTAAAATAAATATGAAATATTATGAATTACAGTTAACACATGAGCAATACTTCAGGATTTAGAAGAAATAAACTCTGCAGACTGCTACCATTTATGGAAATATTGCAGAGAAAAAAAGAATGAGAAAATATACTGTATAGATGAAAAACAGACAGCGATTACAAAGTAACATGGGCTTACTGTAGGAAAACTAGGAAAAACCCCTATTATAAGTACAAAGAAACTTTAAAAAACCTATAGTCCTACTAGCCAGATTTAAACATTCCATCCTTCCAAGTCTTTTCCTTTGTAAACACGTAGGTATCCAAATACACATCTCTTTTTTCATATGGGATCCACCATGTGTGCTATTTTAACTTTTCTCTTGATAAGTTTATTTCATCTAGCCTAATATGCCTTTGCCTGCAAGAAGTATCATCATTTTATACATCACTTCAAAAAATAGGATACAACAATAATTGTGTGAGACACTGAGTCTCAGAGAGGTTAAAATACACACACAAAAAGTACCTTAGAATGATGAAATAACTTTACCATACTCATGTGTTAAAAGTCACACACATTGGGACTTCCCTGGTGGCACAGTGGTTAAGAATCCACCTGCCAATACAGGAAACACAGGTTCAATCCCTGGTCCGGGAAGATCCCACATGCTGCTGAGCAACAAAGCCTGTGCGCCACAACTACTGAACCTGCGCTCTAGAGCCTGTGAGCCACAATTACTGAAACCCGTGTGCCTAGAGCCCGTGCTCTGCAACAAGAGAAGCCACCGCAATGAGAAGCCTGCTCACTGCAACAAAGACCCAACGCAGCCAAAAAAAAAAAAAAAAAGAGTCACGTCATATTCAACGATTGTATAGTTTTTCACTTTGTTTTGTACCAGTAGCTATATAAATCTTGATGGGTGAGCATTTAATTTGTGATTTTTCACTGTTAGAAACACCATCAAAATAAACAATCTTGTATAGAATTTTTGAGCACACCCTTAATTATTTTCTCAGGATAAATTCTTGTAAGTGGAATTACACTACAAAAAGACAAGCATCATTTTAAGGGTTTTGATACACCTCTCAAAACCATCTTCAAGATTGCGGCACTGTATAAAGGTATCTACCCCTCTGTCAACACTGGAGTTTTTGTTTTAAATACTTGCAAACTAACATGTGAAAGATGGTATCTCCCGCGTTAATTTGTTTCCTTGATTACTAACGGTTGAACATTTTATCATTGAGAACTTGGGCCCTGGAATCAGACAGACTTAGGTTTATATCTTAGTTCCCTCAATTTTTACCTAGTTAACTTTGAAGAAGTTACTTTCTCAGCGTCTGTTTCCTCCTCTACAAAAGGGGACAATAACGCCAACAAAGGCTGTATGCCGTAACATTTAAAGCACTTACTCCTCTGTCTGGCACATATTATGCACCCAACAAATATGAGCGCTTGTTTACCTTAAAGCACAGATGTGAGGCTCTCTTCTCTTCTTCAGATCATCAGACTTGATCATGAAAAAAAGAAAAAATAGGATTTCCTTCATAAATCAGACACACAGAGACTAGTTTAGGGAACACTCTGGCAGTAAAGCATTGTCCTTAAGAGCCTGGACTCTGAAGCCAAACTGCCTGGGTTTGAGGTATGGCCCCTCCATTTGGCAGCTCTGTGACTCAGGCAAGTTACCTAGCCTCTCTGTGCCTTATTCATTCAACAAATACTTACACAGTTATTACAGTGGAACTTATATTCTTGACGGAGAGGGACAACAAACATAAAAAGTCGATTATCAGTGTAAAAAAAGATGACAAATGTCGAGGGAAAATAAAGCAGAGTACGAGGGACCAGAAGTGCTGAGAGTGGGGAAAGGTTTGTAATTATAAATTTGGTGGCCAGGTTAGACTTCACTGAGGTGAAGCAAAGGCTTGAAGGAGGTTGGGATGTACCAAAGGAATATCTCAGCAAAGTGGATTCAAGGTCCTGAGTGTGAAGAATGCCTGGCCTGTTCAAGAAATTGCAGGAGCCTGTGCAGCTGCAACAGCGATTTGGGGGAGAGCAGCAGGAGAAGGGGCCAAAGATGCAATGGGAGCCTTAGAACCACTCTGGCTTTTACTCAGAGAAATGAGAATCTTTGGAGATTTGGGGCAAAGGAATAATATGATCCCATTTAATTTTTAAAAACTGAGATAAAATTCACATAAAATTTACCATTTTAACCACCTGAAAGTGTGTATTCAGTGGATTTTTAGCATATTCACCTGCTGTGCAACTATCACCACTAATTCCAGAATATTTTCATCGCACTAAAAAGAAACCCTGTACCTATCAGGCAGTCACTCCCCATCCCACCCTCCCTCCCCCCAGCTCCTGGCAACCACTATTCTACTCTCTGTCTCTGTATATGTTTTTCTGGTCATTACATATAAACGGAATCACACTATATGTGGCCTTCTGTGTCTAGCTTCTTTCACTGAGTATGTTTTCAACATTCATCCATGTTGCAGCAGTACTTAGTACTTCATTCCTTCTTCTGGCTGAGTAATATTCCATTGTATAGACATACCACATTTGGTCTATCCATTCATTAGTTGAGACGTTGGGTGTTTCTACTTTTTGGCTATTATAGATAATGCTGCTACAAACATCTATGTACAAGCTTTTATGTGAACAAATGTTTTCAATTCTCTTGGGTCCATTAACTTTTTTTTTTTTACTTTAATAATTTTTATTTTTGGCTGCACTGGGTCTTCATTGCTGCACACGGGCTTTCTCTAGCTGTGGCGAGCGGAGGCTACTCTTCATTGTGGTGCGTGGGCTTCTCATTGCGGTGGCTTCTCTTGTTGTGGAGCATGGGCTCTAGGCGCATGGGCTTCAGTAGTTGTGGCATGCTGCTCAGCAGTTGTGGCTTGCTGCTCAGCAGTTGTGGCTTGTGGGCTCTAGAGCTCAGGCTCAGTAGTTGTGGCGCATGGGCTTAGTTGCTCCATGGCATGTGGGATCTTCCTGGACCAGGGATTCAACCCGAGTCCTCTGCATTGACAGGTAGATTCTTAACCACTGTGGCACCAAGGAAGTCCCTCCATTAACATTTTAAAAGAACACAATGGCTGTAGGTGGGCAAGGGTGGAAGCAAGGAGACTGGTTAATATGCTAAGAGAATAATCCTGGTGAGAGAAAAGATGGCTTGGATCAGGTGTTGGCAGTGGAAGTGGAAAGAAGTGGGCTCTTCTGAATATATTCTGAAGGTAGAGCCCACAGGATTTCCCAATGGAGTAGAGATGAGGTATGAGAGAGGAATCAAGGATAACCTCAGCCACTGGAAAGATTGTCGTGAACTGAGATGGGGAAAATTGCAGGTGGAGCAGATTTAGGGGGAGAAGATCAGGAGTTTAGTTTTGGTAAGTGTGAAACACTTCATAAATATCCTAGAGTAGAGGCAAAGCCATGAGACTCTCTGCAATCTGTTTGGAAGTGATCCAAAGGCTAAGCCCTAGAGTACTCTGTCATTAAGAAGCCAGGTCCAAAAGGAAGACCTACCAAAGGGAACTAAGAAAGACTCACCTGTGAGGTAGAAGGAAAATGAAGAGAGGATGGTTTCCTGAAAGTAAGCGGGGGTCGGGGGGAGAGTCTCCAGGAATGAGGAGTAACAAAGTAGGTCAAATGTTGCCGAGAGTCAAGTAAAACCAGGCCTGAAGACTGATGACTGGATTTACTAATGTGGAAGTTGTGAGTGACCTTGACAAGTACAGTTTCAGTGGTGTGTAACAGGTGAAAGCCTAATAAAGTGGGCTTAACAGAGAACAGAAGAGGAATTTGAGACACTACAGACAACTCAGAAGGAATGCTACTGTCAAGGCGAGCAGAGGAATGGAGTGATAGCTGAAGGGGAAAGTTAGGTGAGCAGCATTGTTTTCCTTAAGAGAAGAACTAACAGCTTTCTTTCTTTCTTTCTTTCTTTCTTTCTTTTTGGTATGTTGAAGGGAATGATCCAGAAAAGAAGGAAAATGTGATGTAGTTTCTTTATCTGTGAAACAGGAACCAGTAATGTATCATTGTAAGGATTTAATGAATTAATAAATATAAAGCACTTAGCATGGCATGAAGCATGCACTCAGTAATGCTTGCTTTAAAATACAGAGTATCAGGCTACTCCTAATGACAAACTTGGTTAGGAGGACTGCAAGTTGTTATAGACCCAATTATCAAGTCAATTCACAGCACAAGCAAAGACAAAGGGACATAAGTGAAGTTTTATGGGACAGGAGACTGAAAGCAGGTTTTACATTTACTGTCTTAGGATGAAGAAGTTCAGTCCCAAAGTGAGCACAGTAAAAATTACTCACAGCAGAGTTTCACCAAGCACCCCTGGGGATCTAAAGTAATGGCTGCTTCTTTTTCCTCTCATTACCTGGGGCCCTTTCTATTATTTTGCCTCTCACCGACTTCACAATTAGAAGTATTTTCATCTACCAAATTGCACTAAGTAAAAACCACTTTGATTTCTCAATTTCAGTAATCAGATGCATATAGCCCCAAATCAACAAAAGAGGCCTAGTGTTATCAAAGCTGATATAATTACAAAGGCAGACAAACATGGTTTTTAATTAAGCTTAGGTCAATTAAAATTTTACAACTTTACTATGGATAAAAGTTATTTTTCATTAGATTTTCTGAATTATTAAGAGTAACATCATTTGTGTATTTAACCTAACTTGGTTAATTCAATCATATGTATAAGGCCCAAAGATAGGCAGACTAGGGGACACAACCAGCGCTAGTGTAAAAGAATAAATGCAAGACAGAGAAATTTGTTACTCTTTTATCCCAGATAAAAAGAAATCAGTGGGAAATGGAAAGAAAACAAAATAGTTCTTAATCTTCACTTTTATTTTATTTTTTGTGATTTTAAAGGCTGATGTCCTTGAGGTTCTATTACGATTTCTAAGAGTGATGTACGCCATGTACTAAAAGATATCCCCCACAAACTGGGGAAACCAATGACCTATATGTTTTTATACCTAGACTGGGCCTGTTTTCTAAGAGTAGGAAAACCAGCCTTGATTTTGAAACAGTCTTTTCTGCCAAATTCAACTGTCCACCGATTTAAAAAGAATAGATCTAACTCTCTGCAGGACATACTGCAATACAGAAAGCCACCTAAAACAAAGACATGAACTCAAAAATTTAAATGGTTATTACCTTCCAACGTACTACTCTCTTCATTATACCACTCCCCAAAATGTACTTATCCTTTTTGTTTATAATGTATTTACTTACCGGCTTACTGTATTTTCTATCTTTCACCATCACTATCACCTCTATTATTTTAGATTTTAAAGGCTTTCAGGGTAGGAACAGGCAAAGACTTCCATATAATAATTAAAGCACCAAACACATAGTTAACACTCAGCTTATGTTAAATAAATGAATGCTTTTAAAAACGTCAAGGCAAGGACCCTCAATGGCAAACCCAAACTAAAACCTCATGTCTAAAGGTATTCAATGATTTTATAGAAAATGAATTTCTGAAGTGGTAAAGCTAATGTCAAAGGGCCATAAATACCTGCTGGAACTTATATAAATCATTATACTTTTCATGGAAGTCCAAGTTCAAAAGTTCCTTCTGAAGTCCTTCCAAGAAGTTTTCGCTTTGGATGAAGTTTGGGATCACACAGTGAAGAAAGGGGTCCATGTCCATGACAATGGCTTCTGTGGGGAGGAAAGCATTATCTGTGACTTTTCCCTTTTATATATATATATATTTTTTGCGGTACGCGGGCCTCTCACTATTGTGGCCTCTCCCGTCACAGAGCACAGGCTCCGGACGCATAGGCTCAGCGGCCATGGCTCACGGGCCTAGCCGCTCTGCAGTATGTGGCATCTTCCTGGACCGGGGCACGAACCCATGTCCCCTGCATCAGCAGGCAGACTCTCAACCACTGCACCACCAGGGAAGCCCCCTTTTGTATTTTTGACCTGTGAGCAGCACAGTAGACAGAATACAAAAGGGATGGTCGTGAATTTTCAGAAATCTAGTACCTAAAATTTAAGATTTTGGGGAAGAATTATAAGCTCTTCCTTTCCCTCCC